TGGTGGTCGAGTAGATCATGTTGTGCGGGGTGGAGAACCCTCACTCCGCGCAAGGGGGATGATCGCACCACGTTGTGTAAAATGGTCACGCACCCTCGAGGCAGTTGACACAGTGCTTACAACTGTCTCTGGAAGTGAAAGCACCAGAAAATAAATTAATTCATACGCAGCTGTCATCCGTACGCAAGGAAGTAAGCACAAGATGCCGAACACCCTTAGCAGGATGCAGCGCACCCTTCATGCGACTCGCCGAATATCTCACGGCGCTTCGCGCTTGGTGATGTGAGAGCCTGGTCCGGTGAGAACCCGGCGTGCTCCGTCCCGGCTTTGTAGGGATGCGAGGTCAATGGTCTAACGACACGGCATGCACGACTATGAGTACACCCCACCGCTCAGCGCGTGGTGTTGATATGACTTTCTCTCGCACACGGGACGCTTGTTGTATATTCTCGAGAGCCTGATGCGACCGATTTCATAGTAGTTGTAGGTCTTGTCTGCATGAAAGAAATGCCGTATCATCGGAAGAAATCAACGTGGGGTGTGTGTGAAGATTTGTCGCCGTCGCTTGATGGTCTCGGCCTCCCTGGTCTAGTCTGGGTTGTTCTGTGGTATAGGTAGGTGGCGCATGCAAGCGGTTGGCTGCAGTGCAGACATGGCTGGCTTCTGTGCAGACAAATGAAACTTGCGGTGGTACATGTAGACTATTAGCAAACGGACTTCAGAAGGACAAAAAATGGAAAGACACAGCGAGCGTTGGAATAAGGCGGAATTGACTTCAAGGAGCAGCCCCGTAGGAATATACTTCCTCTGTATCATAAGTTAGGGTACCTAAATTTGTACGGGCCCTTAACCGTGTCCGATCTGTTTTTCGATTTTTTTGTTGAAATGTTCGGAGTTTTTTTAGCAAGAAACATTTATTTTATTTTATATGCATGCGCCACCCCGCGTGCATGAGCGCCCGAGAAAAACCAGTCGGCCTGAAAAAGGCCGCATTTTGCATGTATTCTGCCCCCTCCGACCAGGCGGGGGGGGCGGGGCAATGACAAAAACAAGGCAAAAATACCAAGAATTATCCCTGACCCTAAACCTAGCCCCCCCTCTACTCAACGATCCATGACGCGTCCCCCATACTAAAAACAGCATAATAGTGGCCCCTACACTGAAAACAAGACACTTGGGGGGACCACACTAAAACCAAGACACTTACGGGGCAAAGCAAGCAACAGTAGGGCCCTCATCCAACCCCCCCCTCTACGCAACGATCCATGTCGCGCCCCCTATACTAAAATCAGTATAGTAGTGAGCCACACTAAAACCAAGACACTTGGGGGTCACACACTAAAATCAAGACACTTGCGGGATAAAGATAAGGGTTGGTTGGTGGCGGGGAAAAAAAAGAAAAAGTCGACTATTCTTCCTCATCATCACTTGGACTCGATGCCGCCGCAATCTTTGAAGGGGTGAGAAGCGACGGCCGCCCACTTTGCTTCGTTTGAAAGGTCCAGCTCCTGGGTGTTGTCGATCTGGGTTTTGACCCGTTTCCACAACTTGGACGGGTACTTCTTTCCAACACCGTAGCGTTCGCAGATCGGGTCAAGCACGCCCTTGGGAATCCTTGACAACCCCGGCTGAATGCCCATCGCAATTTCTACCGCCATGGCATAGCGCCTACCAACCGATAATTCGGTGCCCCTTTTGCGAGGTGGTGTGCTGGGGGGCGATTCCATCGCTAGAGTAGGGTAGTAAAATGGATTTGAGAATTTTGTCGAGAATTCTCAAAAAATATCCCAAAATATTTTCTCAAAAATATTCCCAAAACAGGCCAAAATAGGGTACATTTTGACCAATAGTAGGTACAGAAATAGATGTTCGTTTTTTTTAATTTTTTTTCCATCGCTTCTTCTTTGTTATATCTTTCTTACAAACCCGACTATGCTACCATCACTAACACGGTTGCACCCAGACAATCTATTGCATTTAGGTACCCTAACTTATGATACAGAGGAAGTATCGGAACTTCATGAGGGAAAGACGTGCCGGAATTTCGACCACCCCGTCGGTACTACGGTGTACCTTGAGCCGAGCGCAGAGAGAAATTGTCATCTCGGCGCGATGGAGGGTCGACGGGGCTGCTGCTCCAAGAGTGGCGTTACATCGTGAACGGTGTCATGGGTGTCATGATCCGGACGGCCTTCGCCAGGATGTGATTGTCGATCAATGAATTAGATAGGCTTCGTAGGCAACCCTAACCCTGACCCTTACCCCCTACTAAAGACACTACTGAGAGGCTTAGCATGATCCTGTGCGGGGAGAAGTGAAATGAAGCCGGCACGGAAGACCCTGCAACAGTTTTTCATGTAAGAATCTGCAACAGCTCATTTTTCGCCCTCGTCCCGATGGTCGCACGCGAGACAACCGTTACGGAGTGAGGCCGCATCAGCACGACAGCATGATAATGCGATCCTTCACTGACTGACGAACGGCAGCCAAAACCAGTAGCACAGACACAAACAAAAAGGGGTTAGCTCAGATGCGCCCATGCGCCGAATGGGCATACGCGCCTGTGGAACAGACAGCACAAACGTTTTGTTTGTTTTAAGTATATGTAGTCTACTGTACTGTTGAGTATGAACTCAAGTGGAACAGCGCCATAGGCACCGGGCATCTATTACACAACGCTACGTGGAAGACGCTTTGATACGTTCGAGATTCATGTTTGCTGACGTTACTATTGCATGCACCAGCAGCCCCGACACACATTACACTGGGTCGTACGTCGAAAAGCGATCTACAACTACGACTACGACAACTATAACAATGACAACGACAAAGACGACGACAACAACAACGTCTACAACAGACAACAACGCTAGCGATCACAATCATTCATTCATCCATTTATTATATGCGCGGCCTCTCCTGCCTTACACCACGAGGGCACAAAGACTTTTTTTTCCACTCCTATTGGCCACGACACCCAGGTATTCATTCCGGAGGCATCCCAGCTATGCTTGGCACCCTCCAGCAACAAAATCAGACTGATTGGCTCCACAAGGACACAGCTAGCACACCCAACTCACGCCCTCCGTCTAGATACGCGGTTCGTTTTCATAGTCACGAAACCAACACGATAATTTTTTCAACTTCCAGCACTTCGGGGAACAGCCAGCCAGCCAGCCAGCCAGCCAGCCAGCCAGCAACACGAATGAAAGAAGGGCCAAAAAACTCTAGGGCACCGACTGCCAGATGTTGCCTTTAAAGAAAACCGAGTCTAGCCAAGCTGCACACACCGCCACAAGCGGCGTTCCTCTTTTTACGCCTCTACGCATCTCTGCTTAGCTTTCGTCGTAACGGAAGGCAATAGACGCCAACCTACTACAAGGTGGCTACGCTGCGGGCCAAATCGCTTCCTCACCAGGCTGGACCACAACAATCCACGATTCACCCGTCGTTGGAAGACGAAGGGGAGCGGGTTACACAACGAGAGCCCCAAAATGCGACGGTCCACACTTCTACATCGCGCGCCCACCACCGCCGCCGCCAGCAGTCCCTCCTGGACCACAAAATAACCATTAGCATGTATTGAATGTTCACCCCGTCTACAATACCTTCACTCTACTCCGCGCTTAGCTACCCCCCGTCCCCTCGTTCCCTCGAAATGAAGGTGAATCGAATAAAGCAGCCCTTGCTTGGCCGAGTGGTTCGTTGAACCGGCATAAAAGAGTATCGTTAGAGGTTGGCCGGCCGGCCACGGCTACTATCATCACGTCGGAGTGATGGCGAACCGGCACAAGAGCGACGAGTGCTCGAAATCTCCGTGCTGCGTGCCGCTGCTGCTGTAGAGCCGGAGGGAGCGGTACCCCTTCCTGATGTTCTTCACCGGCAAGACCGTCTGGGCGATGAAATCATCCTTGTTCACGTCCTTGTCCTTCACAGTGAACATCAACAACGCCATCTCGGGCATTGTGATCTTGTCGTGGATAAAAAACAGAGGAACGGTGCGGCGGAAGGTAAGTTCTTGTGCGGAAGGTAACATCCGGTACGGGATGGCGGTTGGTGGGGGCTCGTGCGGAACGGATCATAGGATGGTACAAAGTACGGTACAGCGGATAGCGGGTCCCGGTGCGGAAGGGACCGTACGGTACGGTACGGTACGGTACGGTACGGTACGGTACGGTACGGTACGGTACGGTACGGTACGGTACGGTACGGTACGGTACGGTACGGTACGGTACGGTACGGTACGGTACGGTACGGTACGGTACGGTACGGTACGGTACGGTACGGTACGGTACGGTACGGTACGGTACGGTACGGTACGGTACGGTACGGTACGGTACGGTACGGTACGGTACGGTACGGTACGGTACGGTACGGTACGGTACGGTACGGTACGGTACGGTACGGTACGGTACGGTACGGTACGGTACGGTACGGTACGGTACGGTACGGTACGGTACGGTACGGTACGGTACGGTACGGTACGGTACGGTACGGTACGGTACGGTACGGTACGGTACGGTACGGTACGGTACGGTACGGTACGGTACGGTACGGTACGGTACGGTACGGTACGGTACGGTACGGTACGGTACGGTACGGTACGGTACGGTACGGTACGGTACGGTACGGTACGGTACGGTACGGTACGGTACGGTACGGTACGGTACGGTACGGTACGGTACGGTACGGTACGGTACGGTACGGTACGGTACGGTACGGTACGGTACGGTACGGTACGGTACGGTACGGTACGGTACGGTACGGTACGGTACGGTACGGTACGGTACGGTACGGTACGGTACGGTACGGTACGGTACGGTACGGTACGGTACGGTACGGTACGGTACGGTACGGTACGGTACGGTACGGTACGGCGGGAGGTGGGTTCTTGTGCGGAAATGATCATATGGTGCGGCGCGGCGGGTGTTGGGTTTTGTCCGGAAGAGATCACACAATAACGACGAATGGTGGGTTCTCGTGCTGAAGAGCTTACATAAGGGTCAAGGTTGGAAGATCAAGGTATGGACAATAGCTTAAGCCCCAGGGACCCACCCCTGGAGTCGTTCTTTTAGTTACGGGAATCGCATTTTACAAGACTTTGTGTTGTAACTACAAGGTTTCCAAGTCACGAAAGTACATGTACCATGTGGGCATGGACGCGGCTAAATGGTCACGCGGTACGGCACGGAACGCGGTGCGGAATGATCGATCTCGCTATGGTCGTCTGACGTGTACATACCTCGAAGGTGCTGGTTTCGTTCCAGATGGGATTGAAACCATTGTCCTGGATGACCTTGGTGCTCTTGGCCTTCTTGCAGTCACTAGGGAGGCCGTGGACGGAGACGACGACGTACGGGTCTATTATCTCGCCCTTCTGTGCCCCCCCGGGCTTGGGCAGCTGTCGCCCGCTCACCACCTATTGACGGGGGGGGGGGGG